GAACTGGACATGGAACAGCAGACTGGTTCCAAATGGGAAAGGAGTCTGTCAAAGCTGTATATTGTCACCTTGCTTATTTAAATTATATGCAGAGTATGTCATGAGAAATGCTGGACTGGATGAAGCACAAGCTGGAATCAAAATTGCCAAGAGAAATGTCAATAACCTCAGATAATGCAGATGACACCACCCTATGGCAGAAAGTGAAGAGGAACTAAAAACCTCTTGATGAAAATGAAAGAGGAGAGTGAAAATGTTGGCTTAAAACTCAACATTCAAAAAACTAAGATCATGGCATCTGGTCCCATCACTTCATGGCAAATAGGTGGGGAAACAAAGGAAGCAGTGACAGACTTTATTTTCTTGGGCTCCAAAATCACTGCAGATGGTAACTGCAGCCATAAAATTAAAAGACAGTTGCTTCTTGGAAGAAAAGTTATGACAAACCTAGAGAACATATTAAAAAGCAGAGATGTTACCGACAAAGGTCCATCAAGTCAAAACTACGGTTTTCCCCGTAGTCATGTATGGGTGTGAGAGTCTGACCATAAAGAAAGCTGAGCACTGAAGAACTGATGCTTTTGAACTGCAGTGTTGGAGAAGACTCTTGAGAGTCCCTTGGTCAGCAAGCAGATCCAACCAGTCAATCCTAAAGGAAATCAGTCCTGAATATTCATTGGAAGGACTGATGCTGAAACTGAAACTCCAATATTTTGGCCACCTGATGCAAAAAAACTGACTCACTAAAAAAAAGACCCTGATGCTGGGAAAGATTGAAGGTGGGAGGAGAAGGGGACAACTGAGATGAGATGGTTGGATGGCATCACTGACTCAATGTTCATGAGTTTGAGCAAGCTCCGGGAACTGGTGATGGACAGGGAAGCCTGGCATGCTACAGTCTATGGGGTCACAAAGAGTCAGACACAACTAAGCGACTAACACACACACGTCACTATCAGGACAACAAAAAGTGGAAGAAGTGAAGTTCAAAGACTTTATTTCCTTTACATCCTCTGAATAGCCTTAACCTGTAACCATTGACTAACGTGAATCAGTAAATATGTTTGGTCCCTTAGAGCACCTTGTGGAATCTTCCTTCATGCACTACTGATCATCTAAGATAATGGGGGAATTAAAGACATTTGAGATAAACTCTTCCAGAGAAGAAAAGAAATGCAAACCAAATGGATGTGACAGTTCCATTTTTTACTCCCCTGAATGGTGTTACTAACTTTTTAGATACTTTTCTAAAGCCTTGTTAACCATAGTAGCTGAGCATTAATGTGGGTTAGAATCAAGCATTCCATCACAGCATCAGTTTTCAGAGGATCCATTATAATGCCTAACCTAACCTCAAGCAAAGTGCTTGTACCTTTCTTTGGGGCTTTAAAAATAGTCTGTAAGCACCCCTCTGTAGCTAATACAAGCTGCTCTGGGGTGACTCAGAAGAAGGTCCAAGCACTTTGCTTGAGGTCACACAGCTTAAAAGTATCAGGGCTTTTAATAAAACTTCTTTAAATTTTTATTTACCATCTTCTTTTTTAGCTGTGCTAAGTTTTTGTTGCTGCAGGTGGGCTTGCAGTGAGTGTACTCCACTCGCAGCAAGCAGGAGTTACTTTCTAGCTGTCGTTAATGTACTTCTTTCTGCCCTGGCTTCTGTTGCAGAGCACAGGTTCTACAGCCTTCTGCAGTAGCGGCTCTCGGGCTCTGGAGGGCAGGCTTTATAGCTATGGTGCACAGGCTCATTTGTACCCTGGCATGTGGAGTCTTCCTGGACCAGGGATAGAAGTGGTGTTCCCTACTTTGGCAGCCAGATTGTTAACCACTGGGACCACCAGGAAGTCCTTAATAGAACTTTTAATTATACCTTTATATGTATTCACACAAAGATCCTACTTTCTTGCTGACAGCAAGCTTCTTTGACTTTTCTTAGAATGGATGGCAGAAGACCAAGGGAGAAGTCAATGGCAATTCTTAGAAAAAATATTGTTGCATTAAAATAGAGATATCCTGGAAGGTGTATGTTACCAATCAGACTTCTGAAGGACAGCAATTGGGAAACTGTAATTATAAGGAGGGGAAAACATTTTACCTGGAGGGTTCTTGGGAGAAATATGTGGACTGACCACATAAAAAGTAGTTAAGAATTCTCTGAGCAGCCCTGGAATTCCAAACATTCCCCCATCGATATAACCTACCTGAGGAGGAGTCCAAAATTCCAGGTAAGTGTGCAGTCTTCACTGCAGCAAGCAGAGGATTGGAGAGAACCTCAGAATGTCTGGTTTAAGGGGCAACTATTTTAAATGACATTTTTTTTTAAATGAAAAAATAAATAAATAAATAAATAAAAAATAAATACAAACATACTTTTGAAAAGCAAAATGATTTCACAGAAGTTATGGTTTCCTTTTACACATCAAAGCATGCACATGAGGGGAAAAAAGAATTAAATGACATTTTAAATTGGTTTCTAGTTTTAAAAAGTAGCACATATTCAGTAAATAAATGTTAGAAAATTTGGAAAAATTCCAAATCTAGTCAGTTGTAATCTCACCAACCAAAGGACAAATGCTTTTTGTATTTACAAATTTCCATCCAGTATTTTTCCTGATTATATTTAAAACTAAAATGTGTGGTGAGATACATACTAGTCCATATTCTGCTTTTTCATAAAAGCAACATAAAAGGAATGTTTTCCATTTCCATATAGTTCTCCTAGGGTAGAATTTATGGCAGCAAAATTTTCCATCCTACATTGGTGCCATCACTTGTTTAACCTTTGTCCTACTGCTGAGTATTTCAGTTACTTTCCATTTTCAGGACAGCAGCCTGAGAGCTGATAACTTTGAAATGTTGCCCTCAGTGGTGGTGAACTATCCTGATGAGCCCTTTCAAGTGCACCTGATGAGAAGGGTAGGGACTTGTTGTCCTTAAAGTTCTTGGGTTTTGTTTCAGTTTAGAGCGTTAACTCTAAAGCGCCACAGTGGCTCAGACCGTAAAGTGTCTACCTGCAATGCGGGAGACCCGGGTTCGGTCCCTGGGTTGGAATGATCCCCTGGAGAAGGAAATGGCAACCAACTCCAGTACTCTTACCTAGAGAATCCCATGGATGGAGGAGCCTGGTAGGCATCGCAAAGAGTTGGACACGACTAAGCGACTTCACTTACCTTACCTTAGCGTGTTAACACATCTCACTGCTGGTGAAACAAAATGCACATTCTTCTAACCAAAGCCCCTTATTTACCAATCCATGGTGGGATATCTGGGCCAGCCTCAGTGACTGTTGGCATTTCACAGACAAAACCCTGAAAGCGCAGACTTGACTTCACCTACTTTCTATTTCATTTTTCTAAAACTTTTCTCAAAGTGATCAAATTATGAAATGGATGATTGTTCCAGAATTTTCTATTATTTACTTATAAAAATGGCTTTTATTTTTCACTTTCTGCCAGATTCCAGAGATGACAGCACAGTTTGACTCAGTGAGTGGTATCCCCCAGTGTAGCAATATTGTTGCAGGGCAATCCCTCCCATCAGAGGGATCTTAGAAGAGTCACAGGATATAGTCATTTCTATCTTTATACAGATGCCCATCTTCACAGTTAGCACCTCAATTTTAAGATTAATCTGCTTGAGTTAGTCTGGAAGAGGTTAGTACTCCTTTATTTGTGAGGCAGCAATACTCTCTCCACAGAAGAGAAACCTCTGGTTTTTGTTGCTGTTGTTCTTTGGATGGTTTTTGGTCCCACCCTGTGGCCTTAGTTCCCCAACCAGGGAGGGAACACTGCCCCCTGCAGTGGAAAAGTGGAGCCCAAAGACGGAAGTTCACAAGGTCCCCTGGCCCAGAACACGCAGGGAACCAGTAGCCAAAGCTGGTGACTCTATAGAGTAGATGGAGCAAAATTCCAAGTGAGTGTTTGAACCTCCATTAAAATGCTTTCTTAGCTCTAGCTCAGGAAGATCAATGAGGAACTTCCGTTTGGAAGCAAGAGTTAGACGAACTTAGGGAAAATTCTATCTAAAGAAAATAGATCTAGAAAGTTTCCCCTTTTTCCCCTCCTCCAGCCTCACTGTAAGGAGTGAGATTCCCTACTACCACTGAATCAGCTGTCCGCCCCTCACACCACAGACTCCAAGGTTAAGCACTCACTTTACCTAAAAACACACAGTTGATTCCACTATTTATAAATGTAGTACACATGATGGCAGAACTGGTTAGACTGGTTGGCAGTAGGATCTCTCTCTAGCTTTATGACCTCGTCTAGAGCCAGATGCAAGTGTGCACAGAGGATCATATGAAATGATTACATGCTGCCAGAAGCCAAGTCTGGTCTTTTCAATGATGTAAGCAAGGATTGTGGAGAACTGAGTAGCCTCGCAGACAGGAGCACTGGGAACCTGTATGAGCTACCAACAACTCGGGCAGAGAAAGCTATGACTCCACAGCTCTCCATGAAGGAGGGAGACTGGGTGATTTCCCCCTTGTGGCAGACTCCAGTAGTGGAAGGAGCAACAACTGAGCGGCCCGGACACCCAGGGTCTGGTCTCTGTCAGACACTAACAGATGCCAGGAGCAGGTCACTTAACCTCTCTAAGACTCAGGGTGCCCTCCTGTAAAAGGCAGGGGTTTCATTAGGTCAGGGATGGCCACTGGATGACACATACACCTTCACATCACCTCCCTCAAGCCTTTGGTGGAGACCACTGCTCCATCACATCACTGTTTAGGCATTTTTCTACAACATTCTAGGCAGGCATTTCCACTTAGAGTTGGCCCACAAGCTGAAATCTACTTATCAACCCCTTATTTGGTGATCTCTGAAGTCCTTTCTAGCCTCTGAAAAGAGTTCCAAGTTTCCAAGTGAGAGAAAACCATCTTTCTGATTTGGCAATAGCTCCTCAAAAAAAGGAAAATGGGGACCTCCCTAGTGGCACTGCCTGTCAATGCAGGGGATGTGAGTTCGATCACTGGGTCAGGAAGATTCCACATGCCCTGGAGCAGCTGAGCCTATGCACCACAACCACAGAAGCCCTCATACATGAGGACAGCATCAGTAATTCAGGTGGTTGCAAGTGTGTTTTATTGAAAGTAGCGGTGATTTGGTTAACATGGGTCCCATATTACAACCCACTCCTCACCCCCCAACTACACAGGGGCAAGCCTCAGGCCAGGGGAGCATGTGTGTGTTGGATAAGAGCCCTAACTAGCTTGAGTTATTACCCTCATGCCAGGGAAACATGGTGTGGGGGGTAGGGGGTGGTGTGTGTGTGGTGGGAGTTGCAGGGATAAAAGCCTTAACTAACTTGAGTTATTGCTCCCAGGGCAAGGAAACATGAGGGAGAGGCAGATGCCTTTGTGATGAAGTGGCGCATTTTGCTGCTCTGGCCTCAGGTGGAGACCTACACTGAAGCACCAAAGTGGACTGGCACATACGGTTTTCCTTCACAAGCCACTATGATGCGTTTCTCCACCCGGGTGGTCTTGTAGGCACAGTTGGGGTACTTGGAGCTGCCAGTCTTGCGGCACTCTGTAATGTGCATGGCAGAGTTGCTCTGGTAGCAGTTGGACTGCCCATTATTGCAGGTGACTTTCTTCTGGGAGCACACGGCCTTGACATTGGCCAGGGACTCGTGCACAAAGGTGTCCATTGGCCTGCATTTCCCCTGGGTCATCTTCCAGCAGACCATCATCAGGTTGCAGTAGTTGGAGCTGCTGCTGGGGGAGCTGCCAGAGTCCGTGTGCTGCCATTCAAACTTGGCGGCTGCAGATTCCTTGCCCAGGGAAGGCTGGACCCGCACCAGCAGCAGCACCAGGACCAGCAGTGGCAACACGACTAGAGACTTCAGAGCCATGATGACCTCACTCCCCTGGAGGAACCTGAATGAGGAAAGGGGGAGAGGAGGAAAAGCATCACCTTAGAAAGGGAACCCCAGCTCCCACCTGTAGCCTCCCTGGCTTACAGTCAACCAGAAAGATGTTCCTCTTCCTAAGAACCTTTCTAGGTAAGGAGATACTCACATATACTCTTCCCACAAACATTTGACTCCCACTTCCTACAGAGGGGTCATCCTCCTCTCTAGGTGATGACCTCAGAAATGACCTAAAATCCTAGCAGCCCTGTCTTTGAATATAGAAGGTCTTTTGATATGAAATATATTTGGAAGATAAAATACACTCATGCAGCTCTTTTAGTTTAGTTCAGTTTAGTCGCTCAGTCGTGTCCGACTCTTTGTGACCCCATGAATCACAGCATGCCAGGCCTCCCTGTCCATCACCATCTCTCGGAGTTTACTCAAACTCATGCCCATCAAGTCGGTGATGCCATCCAGCCATTTCATCCTCTGTCAGCCCCTTCGCCTCTTGCCCCCAATCCCTCCAAGCATCAGGGTCTTTTCCAATGAGTCAACTCTTCGCATGAGGTGGCCAAAGTGTTGGAGTTTCAGCTTCAGCATCAGCCCTTCCAATGAACACCCAGGACTGATCTCCTTTAGGATGGACTGGTTGGATCTCCTTGCAGTCCAAGGGACTCTCAAGAGTCTTCTCCAANGTGACAATATACAGCCTTGACGTACTCCTTTTCCTACTTGGAACCAATCTGTTGTTCTATGTCCAGTTCTAACTGTTTCTTCCTGACCTGCATACAGGTTTCTCAAGAGGCAGGTCAGGTGGTCTGGTATTCCCATCTCTTTCAGAATTTTCCACAGTTTGCCAGACGGCAGTTATTCTTCTCCTTGCTGGGTGCCCTTAGGGCTTACCAGCTCACATTGGAGAGCTAAAAATCACTGGTGACTGTGACATCCATGTTTACTGAAATATTTCATTTCTCAATATATAAATATATATATACATACATACACACACACACACACACACACACACACACACACACATATATATAATATATTGCAGGGAGAAGTCAATTCCGACTCCATGTACGAACTGTTTCTTTGACGTGCTTTTGTTATTATGATCATATATAAAGTCCTGCCTCAGAGAATCCTGCCCCTCTGCCTGACTGTTAAAATAAAGTGCCTTCAAAGACAGAAATATAGATCAATGGAACAGAATAGAAAGCCCAGAGATAAGTCCACGAACCTATGGTCACCTTATCTTCGACAAAGGAGGCAAGGATATACAATGGAAAAAAGATAACCTCTTTAACAAGTGGTGCTGGGAAAACTGGTCAACCACCTGTAAAAGAATGAAACTAGAACACTTTCTAACACCATACACAAAAATAAACTCAAAATGGATTAAAGATCTAAATGTAAGACCAGAAACTATAAAACTCCTAGAGGAGAACATAGGCAAAACACTCTCCGACATAAATCACAGCAGGATCCTCTATGACCCACATCCCAGAATTTTAGAAATAAAAGCAAAAATAAACAAATGGGACCTAATGAAACTTAAAAGCTTTTGCACAACAAAGGAAACTATAAGCAAGGTGAAAAGACAGCCCTCAGATTGGGAGAAAATAATAGCAAACGAAGCAACAGACAAAGGATTAATCTCAAAAATATACAAGCAACTCCTCCAGCTCAACTCCAGAAAAATAAATGACCCAATCAAAAAATGGGCCAAAGAACTAAACAGACATTTCTCCAAGGAAGACATACAGATGGCTAACAAACACATGAAAAGATGCTCAACATCACTCATTATCAGAGAAATGCAAATCAAAACCACAATGAGGTACCATTACACGCCAGTCAGGATGGCTGCTATCCAAAAGTCTACAAGCAATAAATGCTGGAGAGGGTGTGGAGAAAAGGGAACCCTCTTACACTGTTGGTGGGAATGCAAATTAGTACAGCCACTATGGAAAACAGTGTGGAGATTTCTTAAAAAGCTGGAAATAGAACTGCCATATGACCCAGCAATCCCACTTCTGGGCATACACACCGAGGAAACCAGATCTGAAAGAGACACGTGCACCCCAATGTTCATCGCAGCACTGTTTATAATAGCCAGGACATGGAAGCAACCTAGATGCCCATCAGCAGACGAATGGATGAGGAAGCTGTGGTACATATACACCATGGAATATTACTCAGCCATTAAAAAGAATTCATTTGAATCAGTTCTAATGAGATGGATGAAACTGGAGCCCATTATACAGAGCGAAGTAAGCCAGAAAGATAAAGACCATTACAGTATACTAACACATATATATGGAATTTAGAAAGATGGTAACGATAACCCTATATGCAAAACAGAAAAAGAGACTCAGATGTATAGAACAGACTTGTGGACTCTGGGAGAAGGCGAGGGTGGGATGTTTCAAGAGAACAGCATCGAAACATGTATATTATCTAGGGTGAAACAGATCACCAGCCCAGGTTGGGTGCATGAGACAAGTGCTCGGGCCTGGTGCACTGGGAAGACCCAGAGGGATCGGGTGGAGAGGGAGGTGGGAGGGGGGATCGGGATGGGGAATACATGTAAATCCATGGCTGATTCATGTCAATGTATGACAAAAACCACTACAATATTGTAAAGTAATTAGCCTCCAACTAATAAAAATAAATGAAATAAATAAATAAAATGTTCCAGGTTAAAAAACAAATAAATAAAAAAAATAAAGTGCCTTGTTCAGAACCCTGTCTACCAATAGATGGCAGGAAGGAAGAAATTAACACATTCCCCCTGCCTGAGACTTGTCATTCTAGAAATACTTGCAAGATTAATGACCTTTTTACCTTGCTTATTCACCTTCCCCCATCTCTGATCCATAAAGAAACCTGACATCCTGATCAAAGGAAGATAATTATTTTGAGACATTAGTCAGCCATCTTCTCAGTCAGCCAACTTTTCAAATAAAGTCATATATTTTGACTCAATGCCTCATCTCTTGGATTCATTGGCCTGTCGTGCAGTGAGATGGATGAAGCCCAAGCTGGAATCAAGATTGCCGGGAGAAATATCAATAACCTCAGATATGCAGATGACACCACCCTTACGGCAGAAAGTGAAGAAGAACTAAAGAGCCTCCTGATGAAAGTGAAAGAGGAGAGTAAAAAAAATTGGCTTAAAACTCATCATTCAGAAAACTAAGAGTATGGCATCCACTCCCATCACCTCATTGCAAATAGATGGGGAAACAATGGAAACGATGAGAGACTTTATTTCTTTGGGCTCCAAAATCACTGCAGATGGTGACTGCAGCCATGAAATGAAAAGACAGTTGCTCCTTGGAAGAAAAGTTATGACCAACCTAGACAGCATATTAAAAAGCAGAGACATTACATTGCCAAAAAAGGTCTGTCTAGTCAAAGCTATGGTTTTTCCAGTAGTCATGTATGAATGCGTGAGTTGGACTATAAAGAAAGCTGAGTGCCAAAAAATTGATGCTTTTGAACTGTGGTGTTGGAGATTCTTGAGAGTCCCTTGGACTGCAAGGAGATCCAACCAGTCTATCCTAAAGGAAATCAGTCCTGAATACATTGGAAGGACTGATGCTGAAGCTGAAACTCCAATATTTTGGCCACCTGATACAAAGAACTGACTCATTAAAAAAAGACCCTGATGCTAGGAAAAATTGAAGGTGGGAGGGGAAGGGGACAACAGAGGATGAGATGGTTGGATGGCATCACTGACTCAGTGGACATGAGTTTGAGTAAGCTCCAGGAGTTGGTGATGGACAGGGAAGCCTGGCATGTTGCAGACCACGGGGGTCACAAAGAGTTGGACACGACTGAGTGACTGAACTGAACTGAACTTAATGTGTGTGGGGGGAGCAAATAGGGATTCTACAGGAAATAAATGAGATTTTTAAGGGAATAAACTGGATGGAAAATAATTTGTGATAATATCTGTCTATGCAAATGTGAGTGGTCGATCTTTTCTCAGGCTGTAAAACGCTCATAAGTGGATTTATAGCAACTTTACCCTCAGAAGACTCTACTTTTATTCAGATAAGAGATGCTCCAAAAAAGCTTCTTTCTGCATCTGCTGGGTGTCAAATATCTTGTTTAAAATAACCTTCAAAAAACATAATAACCTTCATATCAACTCTGCAGATCTGAGTGGGTACCCACACTAACCAGTTTAGAATTTGATCACTGATTCATTCATATTTTGTCCTACTTCCCTTCAAAGACAATGGGCTGCTTTTCTGGGCACCTGATGTCCTCTGCTAGCGATCAGAAGTTGTTTTGTGAAATTTGCTCAGCGTTCAAATGTTCTTTCGATGAATTTGTAGGAGAGAAAGTGGTCTCCCCGTCCTAGTCCTCCGCCATCTTGGCTCCTCCCTCCACTGATTCATTCATTCATTCAACAATGGGAGCACAGAAATAAGTTAGAGGGCCTGCCCTAAAAGGGCCTCATAGGGTGCTTTGCATTCCTCAGGTGGGTCCCACCAATGTGCTGGGCATGGCTGCATGAAAACAGTCATTCTTGGGGCACTTTTTCAGTGCCAAAAGAATTTCAAGGAGTTGGTCCAACAAGAAGATTTCAGGGTCACAGTTCAAATATGAACAAGCTTTCTTAAACCCAAAGAAGAGTCTTCAATAGCCTACCACGTAGGCATCCCTAAGTATTGTTACCAAAAAGTGGGGTTGGGCTGCTCACCACCCAAGAGGCATTAAAGAGGCCCACGTTGGTGAAAGGAAAGTTTGTTCTCTTGCCAATGCTGGCAACTGGGGGTGGGGAGGGCAGACGTCTGTCTAAAGGCTGACTCCGCCACTGTCAATCAGTGGGCAGGAACCTTTATAGGCTGAAGGTGAGGGCTACCTGTAGAAACATTTATGCTGTCAAGGATATTATTGGGCCAACTGATAAATCTGTATACAAAAACAGGAAGCAAACTAACGTAGGGGTACTGTGTTTTACTTCCTGTTACCTCATTGACTTCTCTTATGATAGATGTTCACTGTAATTAACTTCTTTGA